GTTCAGCAGAGCCCCAGGGAAGGGCTCACTGGCTGGGAACAGAAAAGCTGTCAAGAGGATGCTCAGTCTAGATCTTATTCTTTAATCAAATGGAGAAAAGGAGGAAAAAAAAAACCCAAACAAAAAACCCAAAACCAACCAGTGTGGGTGTTTAAAAAAAAAAGAATCACCTGATGCCACATGCTCCAGCTTCCTAGGATAGTTAAGTACCTTTTAAGAGTAGCCTGTCACAAGCTTGGCTTTGTCTAGCATGAAGTCTTCTCGTTCAGCTTTATCCACCAGAGCAGTCCAAGGAGACACAAGATATCCTGGAGTTTTCTCCACTCTGGCATTGGTTTGGTTGTCCAGTCTGTCAGGGGTTCTCTAGGGTGTGAAGACAGAACATCCCCATGGCTTGGCCTCTCCACTGGGAACACAGCTCTAAGCTTTAGAGCAACCCTGAGTGTCTGTCTCTGTCTCAGAGGAGCTGCTCTCAGAGTCTATTTCTGTGCTCTCCTGCTGGTGTTTCTCCTGCACCTTCTGCCTGATTCCCTGCAAACGCATCAGGAGGGACTGGTAGTCAAAGTGGCCTCGTTTTTCACCAAAAGGATCCTGGAAGAAAACCAGACATCATCATAGAATGGTTAAGATCACCTAGATCCAACCCCCTGCATGGGCAGGGACACCTCCCACCAGCCCAGGCTGCTCCAAGCCCCATCCAACCTGCCCTTCAACACTGCCAGGGATGGGGCAGCCACAGCTTCCCTGGGCAACCTGTTCCAGTGCTGCTTTTATCCCCAAACCAGGTGGGGGACACATTGTCAGGGCTGTACAAGGTGGTGGTGGAGCTTACACTGTCCCATCTGGTGGGAATCTTTGCTACATGTGGCCCCAGAGTTAAGGAGACAACACATCTGGCAGGCACTGAGTGACTGGAGTTTCAATCCAGGGCAGAGGAGCCAACGTTGCTGTGTCTCCAGCAGGTTGTGCTCAGGCCTCCTGCACCTCTATTTACAAGTGAGCAGAAACCAAACCAGCTCCTGCCTCTGGGGACTGGGCACAACACACTCCCAGGTCACAAACCCACGAGGAAAGCAACTGAGCCCTGGTTCCTTGAGGAGGAAACTAGAGGAGGCCAGACCTGACACTCCTCTCGTGTCACCAAACTTCACCACAGCCTGCAGCTCAGGGCTCTGCACACACAGACCTTCCCTAGGGGAATTCCTCACTCCCAACATCAACTTCTCCTGCTCAGTGGATGAAAGACACAGCCAGGGAAGGCCCTGATGGGAAAAGAGGGCTCAGAGACACCAGAGCATTAAATCAGCCACCTCCAGCTTTCCTTAGCAGTGGAATTTCTCAATGAGTCAGAGAAGAGGTGGCTGGTGAGGGAGGAAGACACATCTGTTGATATGCAAACAGGCTGGTAATCTATTCTTTTAAAGTCTGCTCTCCTGCAGAAACCAGCTCCTGTCTAGATGTGTCTGGCATCCTGACACTCTTCCCACACCCTTTCCTCCTCCAGCAACTTCTGGCTCAGTCAGGCCCTTGTGACCTCCTCTGACAGGACAAGGAGCCTCAGAGAAAAGTTCCTACCTGCTGGATGAGCAAAGGAGGCTCAGAAAGAGAGAAACTCCAGCAGTGACCCAACAGGGAAGTGCTGCAGTGGAGTTTAGGTGCCACCAGAGGTGGGTAAGCAGCACGTGCCACCCCTGCCAAGCATCAAATCCACATGAAAGCAAAACATGTTGGTTCCACTGCTGGAAGAAGCACCTCCTTGCCTGGAGAGCAGCTCTGAGAAGTCTTACCAGCCTTGAAAACACACTCTGAGCTTGGGGAAGGCAGAGGTTTATCCACAGAAACACCTCAGGCCTCAGTTTCATGGAACATGCAGCTCCCAGAAATGCTCCAGACCCACCCCACGTCCCCCTGTGAGCTGCACATTGTTGCCTGTCACTCAGCAGGCACCCTCAGCTAAGGAGTGTGTCCTAAGCAAGAAAAGGCTCTGCCACCCACCTGCATTGTCTGTCCCTGGAGATACAGCCTCTCTTTACACACCCCTTCATAGAAGTCATAGTATTCCATGAAGGATTTTTCCATCACGCCCCTGAACACAAGGAGAGAGGAACCAGTCAGCACCAAACCAGTGTCACACCAGTGACAGGGCCACCTCAGCCCACTCTACTCCAGCTCATCTCACTGCTGTGGACCATCTCCCACACAACCAGCAGGACCTGGAGCAGGATGAGCCCCAGCACCACTGCAGCTGGGATCCTGCACGTCTTTCCACCACAGCTGCCCCCTTCCCTCCCCTCCCATCTGGGCTTGTTTTTTTCCCCACCAGACAAAGCCCATTTATTCCCCAGCAGAATCAGAGGCTGCAGCCCCTGTGCACATCAACACAGCCCTTGTCAGCCCAGGCCCAGCTCCTGAGCACCACGCAGATGCAGCCACCCCCTCTCCCAGGGAAATGACCCACCCCAGGGAGAGCTCAAAAGACCTTCCCTGAAGCAACCCTCAGGATTTCAGGAAGGGCAGCCCGAGTTTATTCCCCTTCCCCACCCCCACTTTCTGCTGTTCCCTCCTTTCCATACCTTAGTGGCTCAGGACAGGGACACTTGCCCTCCAACATGTCACACACTGCCACCCGGATGGTCTCGTGCCGAATGCACTCGTTATAGTTCTTGCTGTCCCCTGGGTGCCTCTCCTGGAGAGAGAATTTGGGCCAGTTGAGTCCACAAAACTGCAAAGGGCCCGAGGAATTTCCCTGGTGCCCAGTCCCACCAGGGCTGTGTCTGTCCTGGGTCTGCTCAGCTCATTTATGCTGCAGGTGAAAAGCTGGTGAGATCGTCCAGGTCTCCAGAGCCTCAGACTCACACAGGATGGAGAGAGGGCAGCACAGAAACCTGCCTCTCCACAGGCTGCTGGAGATCAGAACCTGAGCAGTTTGGTTCCTGTGTGACCATATGTCCCAAGGAAGCCATTCCAGGAGTCAGGTAGCAGAGGAATGCAGAGCTGCCCCATCTCCCCTGCAGCTTCTCAAGAGCCTCTTGTTCTTCTGTTCCCCTACACGTGTGTGAGTCTCTGATCAGAGCTGCCTGGAACTGCCCCTCCAGCTCTGACCAGAAGCAGCTGGGAAAGAGCCAAGGGACATAACCTGCTTTTGTTACCATTTCCAGAATGGGATTTGCCACCAGGAGCAAGGGGTGGAGGGAAGAATCACAGACTGGTTTGGGTTGGAAGGGACCTTCAAGATCACCCAGTTCCAACCCCCTGCATGGGCAGGGACACCTCCCACCAGCCCAGGCTGCTCCAAGCCCCATCCAACCTGCCCTTCAACACTGCCAGGGATGGGGCAGCCACAGCTTCCCTGGGCAACCTGGGCCAGGCTCTCACCACCCTCACACCCAAGAATTTCCTCATCGTGTCTCACCTCAATCTCCCTCCTCCAGTTTTCATCCATCCCCCCCTTGTCCTCTCCCTCCCTGCCCTTGTCCCAAGCCCCTCCCCAGCTTTCCTGGAGCCCCTTCAGGCACTGGAAGGTGCTCTAAGGTCTCCCTGGAGCCTTCTCTTCTCCAGGCTGAACACCTTAACTCTCCCAGCCTGTCCCAGAGCTGCTCCAGCCCTCCCAGCATCTCCGTGGATTCTGGACTTGCTCCAGGAGAGACCAACAGCTGCAGAACCAGAGATGATCCACCCCCAAGCTCTCACCTGCTCAAAGCCTGGCTCGTTGTGATAAGGGTTCTCAGTCATCAGAGACTGGATGGAGATGAGGACTGAAGAGATACTCTGTGCTGGGCTCCATGCTGGCCCAGTCCAGGTGCTGAGGCATTAAAACAGAAAAGCACCAGTTAACAAGGCAGGACTAGCCCAGTCAGCACCAACCCTCCAGCTACCAAAGCTCATGGAGCTTGGGACACCCCACCCACACCTCACAGGCAGGAGAAGCAGCTGCTGCAGAGAGCATTGGGCACTGAGGGAGCTGTCAGGGTCAAAGTCCTGCATTTTCTCAACCAAATGAGAACTTGAGCAAGACAAGAGGGGCTGGTGAACTTCATTGCTAACTCACCCAGGGCATCCCCATGAGCTGAGAAGGAACATCCCTCAGCACTTCCCAGGGCACCTTAAAGCTCAAGCTAAGACCCCCTCCAGCAGCCTGGGGCAGCCCCAGTCCACCCAGCAGTGCCTCCAGCCAACCCCAGCTCCTCTGCAGAACTGAAATCTGGTTTTCAAGACCCGAGGCCACCACTGGTGACACAACCCTGAGGAGAGTCACCTCCCTGGCCCTGCTGGTGACACAGCCCAGGACACAGGTGGTTTCTGGGCTGCCACCTCCTCTTGGAGCCATTTCCCATGAGATTCTGTGATCAAAGTGCATCCAGAGCAGGTGCCTGGGGCCAGGTGAGGGCACCAGGTGTGGAGAAGGCCACGTGAAGCAGCCCCCCAGCTTGGCAGCCACCTCCTGCCTCCCCAGCCAAGCAGCCCCAGGGCCCCTCCTTACCCCAGGATACTCAGGCAGACCTTCCCATTGCGGTAGAAGTTGGGGTTAAACCTCACTGTGTTATTCCCTGTTGTCATCAGTTTGACCCTGGGAGGGTGGATGGGATAATCTGGAGGACAGCGAAACAGGAACAAGAAGAAACCCCCCTCATAAGGCGTGTCAAAGGGGCCTGTGATCAAGGCATGAATCTGGAAAACAAAAGCCCACCTTGGGCACCACTTCAAAAACCATCCAGCTCCCCCCCACCACCACCCCCAACCCTCCAGAGAAGCAAGGAACCTCCAAGCCAGGGAGCAGGAGCTCAGTGGGGATCCCTCCCTTCCCCTTCCTTCCCAATTCCCTCCCTTCCTGCCAGGCCCCATGTGGAAAACAAGCAGGTTTCCAAGGGCAGGTTTGGCTGGGATCCACCACAGCTGCCTCCCAACCATCTCCACACCAGCCTGAACTGCAGCTCAGCTGCTGAGCTCTGCTTAAAAAGAACAAAACAACAACAAAAAAGAGTAAGATTTCCAATGGGGGGGGAATATCAAAATCTGGATTCATTTGAGAAGGAAAAAACCCCCTTAAAATTCAGATTTTCTGCCCAAACTAGAGCATCCTTCCTTTTTTTTTTATTATTTGATGGGCTCCTGTTGATTTGGTTTTATTATAACAAATCACTCCCTCTCCTCTGCCAGGATCTGAATTTAAAACCCTTGTCTCTCTGTGCTAATTACACCTCCAAGATCCCAACTGTGCCCCAGGAAAGCTGCTCCCTTGGGGCTGGTAAGGAAGCTCAGCCCCCAAGGGATCCAAACCTCCTTGTTAATCATCCTCTCCCCTCCCCAGGATCCCAGGGAAAAGCCCCAGGCTGGTGTTTCACACCCCACTTTTCCTTTGGAAAGGGTATTTGGGCACTTCCAGCTTCCCAGGCTGAGGGAAAGGCAGAGGGAAATGCCCCTGGGGGGGAAGGGGGGGCTGTGCACAGACACCCCCTTTGTGCTGCCTCCAAAATCCCAGGGCAGGCAGGCACTGGCAGGGGGGAGGGATTTGGGATGCTGGGGGAATGTGG